AATTTTTGTTTCAAAGTAAATTAATTTAAAAATCTCTATTGTAATAAATTTTGGTTAAAGAAATATATTTGTATAATTATATTATTAATAGTTGTGACACGAATGTTATAATAATATAAATAGCGACATTAAAAATAATAATAATAATAATAAATAATTGAGATGATATTGGTAAAACTTACATTGAGATGATATTGGTAAAACTTACATTGATACTAATAATTTTAAAGTCTTAATATTTATAAATAAAGATGACAGTGACGTTACATCTTGATAATATGTTTAATAAATAAAATACTATGATATTCAGGTTTGAAAAAATATAACACTAAAAACATTTTTCTCAAAATTTATAATATAAAAAAGAAAAAAGAAAAAAAGAACAACGTGTTTAAGTGCTTTGACTTTTTTCTTTTCCAACTTCGAACTTCTGAAAAGTGCGTTTCACTCAGTTTTTCACTTTCATCCAGAAAGAAAAATAACAGAGAATTGAAAGACCTTAGTTACCCTGATTCCAATGGACGGAATTCCAGCCAGATGAGGCGGCCACGGCCATCGACGGCGATGCCGCCGAGGTTCTTGGTGGCGCCGGAGACAACGTCGCCGGTGATGGGGGACTTCCATGAGCCGTAGGGAGCAGTGATGACGTTGTTGGTGGAGAACGCCATTCCCCTTAATGAAAGAAATTAAAATTAAGTGAGTTTTAGGTCTGAAGGAGCACAACCCAAACACAGCACAAGGAAACCCTGCTTAAGTAAATGGTGGAATATATGAGTAACAGTAAGAGAACATAAACCATGATGGGGTATTAAAGTTCGACACAGATTAATTTAGTTGCTATAATGCTTAGAAATTGTTCTGATTCTTTATAAAACATGCAAAACTCTCTTTGATTTTCTCTCTATTTATGTAAAGAAAAGGTTGATTTAGTCCTGTAATAATAAAAATTATATATTTATTTATCATTAATCTTCTTATAATTATAATTAAGATAAAGAATCTTAAGAAAGCTAGTAATATGCAAAATGTGTCGTTTTCAATCATCAATTAGTTAAAGTATGATGAGTTTCAATGATGAGAATTAAAAATTCGCAACCATGGCTGCTCCAACAATTCTAATTGTTTATTGTATTCAGTTTGGTTTGCGTAAGAATATTGGAGATTTGGTGTTAAATAAAACAAAATGTCGATGTGACGTAATTATTATCGAAATCTCGAAAACAAATAATACTTCTAATATAATAAAGATAATTTATATATATATATATATATATATATATATATATATATATATATTTTTTTCCTTTTTTTAACATGTTATAATAATTTTTAAAAATAAAATCATTGGACGAAAATTTTAAATAATATCTCATGTTATCGAAACAAACATAATATACCATATCCTATATATATTCTTGTTGAACGAAGTTAAAAAAAAAATAGAGTTTTTTTTTCTATTTTTAATATCTTTCAACTTAAAATTTCATTAGTATCATCCTCTTATTTTTTATTTTTTGCTTAATTTTATTGGTTCACCTAAATATAAAGACCAGAACAAAATTTCAACACTTTTACTGCACATTTTTATTATAATATATATATATATAAAAAACAAGTCATTTTTGTTTTCATATCAATTTTTTAATTATATTTATTTATAATTTTCTTACTTTTATGTGAAAGTTATTAGTAAACAGTAGATGAATTATGTTAAATCTATGATTCGTCAAGTAAGACATTAATATAAAATTTATAATTATCAATATCATTTGTTTTATTTTTTACGAGTTATACATATATATATATATATATATATATATATATATTACTAAAAACTTTTAATGTAATTTCATAATTTCATATTAATATATATATATATATATATATATATATTTATAAGATAAATGATGTGAGATTTTTTTTAATATATAAATATATATAAATGATGAAAACGAAGGATTATAGGAAAGAAAAGTAAAATATGATAACATGGTCAAATTTCATTATTTTATTTTAATTTTTTGACCGTGTCAGGACCTTTAGATTTTATATTTATACACCAAATTGTTAATATTATTTTTTTCAAAAGAGATAACAAAAAAAAATTACATAAGTTTTATACCAATTTATTTTAAGAATATTGCAAGTGTTTTAGGTACATAGTAATCTCAACTGGCTTTTTCATCTTCAGTAACGCACTCCCTTAACTATTTGTTTGACTAATATTTTAGATTATAAGGTATTGTTTTTCAAAGAAAAAAAGTGTGATGGTTAAAAAGTTGTTCATTTTTAAGTGTGATTTTTATTAGAGATGTAAAAAAAAAAACATGATTATACGAGTCAACAAGTAAAAAAAAAACTTTAATTTAATATATATTTTAAAATTTATTATAATTTTTTTTATTTAACCAAATATAGGTTAATAAACTAATTTTGGTTTGATTAAAAGTTAAAAAAATTAATAATATTTCTAGATAAAAATAATTAATTAAAAAAAATAGTTTTAAAATTTAAATTAATAAAATTAATTTCTATTTCATATATAATGATGTAGTATAAATTACAAAGAATTTATTCACTTCATACAAAAGAGTCAAAACCATAGTTAAATATTTACTCTTATTTATCATAATTTTTTTAGTTATTTAATTATTTAAAATAATAATTCATTTAAACTATTAGATTATTAAATAAGTGAGTATTAGATATTTATTTTTATACTTGCTTTTATAATAAATTAATTTCTTATCAAATATGGCATATATTTTATATTAAAATGATATTATTTTTATTTTTATTTAAAAATAACAATTATTTTATAAAAAAGTCTACAAATTATTATAGTCTAAGTTTATTTAGGTTATGTATGAAAAAAATTAGTTTAATTCAATTTAAGCCATAATTTTTTTTATTTCTTCTTGTACTTTCGTATTTTCTTTGTAAATTCATCGTATTTTTTTAAAATGACAATATTACCCATAATATAAATATGTTCTAAAAAGTCCATTCTAAAAATAAGTTTCAGTTCTTTCCGGTTGTATTTTTGATAAATATATTATAGAAATCTGATTTTAGAAATTTCTAAAACATTTATAGAATATATTTCTGAAAAACATGATTCAATAATGAGTTACTGATTTTCAAAACACATATTTAAAAATGTTCCAAAAATATATTACGGATTCAACAATCAAGAATTTATTTCTAGATTATGTTTTTTCATAATATATTTCCATGAAACACAGTTTAAAAATGAGTTTTGAATGGTTGAATATGTAATACATTTTTGGAACACAATCAAGAAAATGTTCTTATCAACCTATCTAGAATTATTTTTGGATTGTATTTTCTAGAAATGTATTTCAGATATATTTCAGATTCCACAATTTAGAACACCACAAACAAAAATCAAATATTTTTTATGAGATTTTTGGAGACTCTACATGTTATAGGATTAAAAACATAAATCACCATTATTAAATTTCTAACCTTAAAGCGAAAATGATAGAGGTGCAAGTGCTCGTACAAAGGTATGGCCAAAAAAAAGAAAATTGAACTCAAGGACATTTTTATCAGTTTACATATATTATTGAAATGGAGGAAGAAATAATCGAATTTTTTATTTTAATTTCATATATTTTTTAAACATTTAATTCGAGGATTAGCCATTCACTTGAATCTATTTTGTCTTTCTTAATTTTATATAATTTTTTTTAATTCTCTGTTCCACTATATTTAATTGTTTTTATAGGAAACAATTGTAAACTATTTCTAAAATAGAGCAGAAAAATATATTTTTAAACTTTTTTAAGAAGTTTACTTAATATATTAAAAATTACAATAAGTGATTTTTTTTATTAAAAAACACTTTTTTTTTATGAAAAACAATAGGCATGCTCATTGTCACATTACATATTTTCCCAAAAAAACCTGAAAATAGGATATTTTTCAATTGGAATTTAATCGTTTATGTACATTATTGCTCGAAAAGTATATTAAAGTCAGGGTTATGTTTAATCCCTATGCAATTAGTATTGTGATCAATTTTGATAATAGAAAACGTTTTTGGTGGCATGCTGATAATCCCTTCAATCATCTGATTTTTCTTATGATCTTGAAAATAATTTGAGTCAATTGTTATTAAAATTATCTGTTTTAGAATGTTATAATGGAATATATTATTCGCTTAATTTTTATTTTTAACTTTTTTATTTATATTTTTAAGATTTTGTTTTTGGAATTTCCCCTTTAATGATGAATATTCAACTCATAAATAAATCTCTTTAGAAAAAATTATGTGTAATGTATGAATCCTTGGTTTTAACTTTAACAAGCGTCAAAGATTTCCAATGTTAATGTTTTTTTTTTAAATTAAACTTCACCTAAAAAGATTTAGAGTTGTTAATTAGAGATAAAATTAATTTCCTAAATTAAGATTTAAATAAACTTTAAAAACATTATAGGAGAAAAAAAAAAGAAATTAAATTGAAAACTGAAATTAAGAATTTTGAATAAAACATAATGAACCTAATCCCAACTAAATAAACTTATGTTCTTATTGAATTCAAAAACCTAAAAGGTAAATCTTTACCATTTTCTCAATATCAATATTTTCTCATTATAGCATACAATGACCACGATGAACTGAACTTTCTGTTTAGCTGATTCGAAATATCTGTCCCGGTATTGCCACCGTAAAAACATAACTTGTTCATGTGATAATGCTCTTGTTTGCATCCATTATGATAGACCAAAACACAATTTTAGTACCTGCAAAGATTTGGATCAGATAAAACCAATAGCATAGCGTTGAACTTATTAAACTAGTAAGTTAATAAGACTAATGCTATGGGGCAGAAGAAGTTCCTAAGTGCAATAAATTGAAGCAAACCTGGATTTCAGCTAAGCACCAAAAGGATTTGAGAACTAAGATTTCTTAAAACTTGCTTCAACATGGATGCAAAACAAAGGCAACATCAGTACATCAAGAAAGGCCATTCTCAATCAAAGTTGTCAATTTTGATGGGAGTAATATCATCAGCAACATTGAAGTGTCCAACCAATCGTGCAAAGAAGACCATTTGTTGCTCGAGTGTGAACTTTATGTTCTCAGCCTGCATCCAACCCGTTATTGGTTTTAACCACTGTTTCAGTTTAATAGATAAATAACTGAAGTGATGCATACCTTTCGGAAACCATGTTGTTCTCCTTCATACTCAACAAGAGCAACTGGCACACCTTTTTCCTTTAGAGCCTGGTAAATTTTCCGAGCTTGTTTTGGTGGTACAACCTGAATCGTGCACAATGTATTTATTAGTTACACCAAAAATATATATTTATCTGATTAAATTCTAACAATAATGTAGAGTAGATTTAAGAAACGGTTGACAATTTCCACTCCAAAATCCTTTAAGAAATAAATATGTGAAGGGGAACATGATAACTGCATTGTGACTAACCTTGTCCTCCAACCCTTGAAATAAAATAATGGGACAAGAAAATTTGTCAACATGATTGATTGGTGATCTTTCATAGCACTGCTTCTCACCTCCTACAATCAGTTAAGAGATAGATTGAACATCAAATCAAATGAAACAATAAACTAAAAAAATTGCAGGTACTTTAAATGGTTCATTGCTTAACTTACCACCCAGTCTATCAATATAATGGGATTCGAATTTATGAGTTTCTGCTCTCAACATGTTCACATCAGCCACCTGTTTCAGACACCAATTGGCAAATACATTTCATTGTAAGTACAATTGTTAAACTTTTATTCTTTGTTATAGTTACAAGAACATCCACTACATTATACTTCATTTTACTGAGAGGCTGGCTAAGAAGGGTACATGTGTATTATCTTATCTGGAAGCAATTAAAGGGATTATTAGAATATAGAGGGAATCACTTAGAAGAATATTCTAGCAAAAAAACAAATTGTTCATGACATCTTAATCTTCATCTTTGTTTAAAAAGTGAAAACAAATGACATGCGCCAACAGCCAAATAATGTGAATTGAGAACAAGTCAGAAATTCATGAGCCTATTTCCTGGTAGAAAGATAAAGCAGTTTACTGTAATATTGGGAAAAATGTATTGCAAAATTGAAGTATCAGAAGTTGCACTCACACCATACAGAGAAGCACCGGCCTTAAAAGTTTCTTTAAAAGCAAGAGCAGCTAGGGTAGTATACCCACCAGCAGAGCCCCCTGTGATACAAATCCGCTCCCCATCTACCTTTCCACTGTTCACCTACACAAGAGATTATATTGCACTACCAATCTTACAAAGATTCATCAATTACAAATGTAGAGAAAATTTTTTTTTTACCAAGTATGTAGCACAACTACAACAGTCATTGACATCAACTATTCCCCATCGCCCCAAAAGCCGTTCTCGGAACTCCCTGCCATAACCTTCCAAATAACATTGTAGTCAGACAAATAGAATTCCATCTTTTCAGTAAGTGGAATGATCACAACAGGCTATAGATGATACAAATTAAAAAAGCATATCATAAATAAGCAAAAGCTTCTAGGATGGACAAATAACAACAAATAAACAACCAAACTAGAAAGAATTACAAGTTCTAACAACAGAAAACAAAAATATGGGGGAGAAAAAAATAAAGTAATTAAAAAATTAGAGTAAAATCTAGTAGATAAGGTGAGAGAAACAAACCAGTGCTTCCACCATAATTAACATCAACGAAAGCCCAACCCCGACTAGTCCAGTACTGAAAGCTCAAGTTTAAAATTCCACGAGCTTCAGCAGTTGGTCCTCCTGAAATATTAAACAACACGATGCATAAAAGTGTGTTGTATGAAATCATTCACGTAAGAGAACCCATTTGTTGGTTTGCCAAGGCATGTTAGTGCAAGAAAAGAAAAAAACATGTACTCTACTATTTATCCATTAAAAATGTGGCTCAAGAAAACTTGACAAACTAGTTCAAACATATTAAAGTCCACTGATGACTCATAGCCAACCCCAATCCCTGGTAAGGGAGGAGGGTCATTTAGACCCGTGACAACCAATGTAAAACTTGTCAAAACCCCAAACATGAATCAATCACAACAAATTTGTGCTAATGCTCAGTTATTATCTGAGAGTAATGCATTATATGGCTCAGGTACAGTATTAAATGAGTAATAATCACTGCATTAGTGCCCAGTGGTACTGCTAACATGGACATCATTTGGATTACATAATGCGTTTTCAAAAGATTAAATGCGTTACAGAAAAAGTTAAGGAACTTGACACTAGAAGATTTAAACTTCAGCACACAGGAAAGGTTAGAGGAAAGAATGGTTTGGGCATATTATTGCGACATAAATTTCTTGTTTACATTTCTCGATGGCACAGAAACAAACCAATGTTAGTGTGTATTCAACAATGTAAAACTAAAACTACTACTGCCACTTTAATTACAGTGCACTCATGACCTCCATAATATTCAGCAGTATTAGCATACAGTTCTAAAACTTTAAAGGTCATCCATTCTCAATTATCACATACATAGATCATGAGATGATAAACTACCTATGAATTATGGTTGCAGAGGGAAGACCCCACTCCACAGATTTTCAGCATCTAATTAGCCAAATGAATTAGATTATGAAATAGAATGTGATCAGTCCATACACAAGACCAAGATTTACCATGGCTCTTTAATAATAATGGAGGCTTTTCATCTTCAGTAGCTTGAAAATCAGGATTAGATGGTGGATAAAAGTATGCATAAGCATTTTGACCAGGAACTTCAGTTGGGAATTCAATCAACTCAGGTTTACTGAAGTAAGAACTATACTTCAAACTATCTGGTGAGGATGACCAAATAATGTTGAAGTCAACTGCTTTTGATTTATCATTATCCAAAGTCACCTGAAAAGTAAGAGAGCTATCAGGGGATGCATTGAAATAACTAAGAAGGAGAATAATGGAAGAAGAAGGAAGCACCTTAGCCACTGATAATGGATGAACACCAGATGCTCCTTCCACATATAGGTAATCATTACCAGAAGTCTGCAATGGCATGATTGCACAATACGACTGTCAATTTATTTCAAGAATTGATTTAGACCCAAAAAACAAAAACAAGGAAACAATTTTAAAAATTACAATGTTTTCTATATCTGTGAAAGGGATATCCAGCACAGTTAGTTTTGAGCACTGCACATCATCAATAATTCCAAGATATGACTTCCCCTGCTGTCTACAAACACAAGCAAAACCTTGATTGAATGCACTAGATTGGACCCCGAGAGAGCAAGATATTTTCAGGTAGTAGACATGGAATTACCTGTAACTGCAAGCAATTAAGTTTTTATGCGTATAACTTTGAAGAAATTCATAAGAATTCATACCAAAAACCCACAGTGGCCTTGCAAACTCAGCATCCAAAGAATAAACAGGCAAGACCTTGTTCTCAGACTCAATCTGTGACCAGTTATAGAAGTTAGAAAAAGAAAAAGAAAAACAATCAATTACATATTTAGTTTCTATTGCATGTCCCATTAACAGGTTGTTGCACAAGGAATCTCAGACCAAAGGAACAGGTTATTATATGAAAAGTGAAATATTAAAAACAAGCATTTCTATTGTATCGTGGCAAAAGAATAATATAGATATTTAACCTCAGTGATTGGATAGATAATGTCCAAAAATACCAACTAGAACACCTCTACTGTTTTTCACAACATGGTTTTTATGTAAATGTTATGAGGCAGAAAGATATTTAAAAGCTGATTATTTTCAGGACACAAGTCATATGAAATTCGTATACATTGTATGATTCTCTTTGACCTCATAATTTGGAAATATCATAATTAGTTCCACACACAAACGAGGCAAAATGATAAATGTCAAAGAAACTACATTTTGTCAAAAACAGCAAAGTCAAATAGGTAGTGGGAAATTCAACTAGTTTGGAACCTACGTTATAAAACATGAACTTGCTAAATGAACCTTACAAGCAACATAATAACAATTTGTATCCACCAATCCTCCAAAACTATATATCCCAAACATGACATTCCATGTAAAATTATCCAGAGTATAATGAGTATTTAACAATGCAGAAATTAGAGAAAGTTGATGAAACTAACTATATATAATTAAAGTTTTTTGCAGAGATAAATAGTGAAAGAATTACCCATTTATGGAGATTCCAAAAACCATTTCCCCTATCCGTGATGAAAAACAGCTCCCCTGTTAAATTAAAAGTAAAGTAAACCACAATGCACAGAAAGATCATAACAAATATTCCTTTGGAATCAATAGATAAATAACATTTAATGATAACAAACAATAAATCATTATTTGAACAAGAAACACTAAAACAACGTTTTCTTTCTCCGTTTCCTGCACAAATATTTGAAAATAGATAAAATCAAGTAAAAACAAAACAAAACTGCAGGTAAACACCCCGAGATATCATAAATTAACCAGGTGAAGGATCCTGTCCCCATATCTAGGGTTATCATGACTTAATGATATTAAGAAAAAGAAAAATAAAATCTTGAGAGCTACTATAACAAAGTCAAGTTTTGGTTATGTAAAACTGACAAGTTCCTTATATATTTTAGGTAGGAGGGGGGAGGTGGGGTGTTACAAGCCATACTTAGTTTCCGTACCATCAGAAGACCACTTGGGCTCAGTTGGAGACTCCACAACTGCAGGATCATTCCCAGCAACACACACTCGCTTGTGAATCTCTCTGCATGGAAACTTAAGATGATTAAGCTTCAAGTTGAAACATGGCATATAATAAGAAAACAACCACTCCAACTATCATATGGAACTAGGAAACTAGATCAAGGACACTGAAATGGAGGGAAACAGAAAAATCTGCAAGAAGAAATAAATCTACGCATCAGCATGTCAGAAAACAATGCATGAAAATTATGAAAAGTATCAATTCAATCAACAAATATTGCGTGATCAAGAAAAGAAATGAATATCTGCAAAAGCATCAGCAGTTTCTATTAACGAATATTGTATCAAAGATAGACTTGACATCAATATGAAAAAACTAAAAGCTCACGTAAGACATGAATTAAACGAATATTGTCACTTCAATTAGTTGCCCTGTATAATAAGCAAACATAACTTTTTCAAATTTCAATTGTAATCTACTCACCCATTTTCAGAAATATACCCAACCCAAAGTTCTGATTTATCCCATGGCATGTAGGGATGACTCCACTGAATCCAAGCTATTCGTTCACTTTTTGGATCAAGACGTGGGAAAGCATAGAAGTCACTACCCCCAACTAGTACCTGCGGTTCTGAATATCTCACTCTAGTTAGACATAATACTGATTGCATCATGAAAAAAACCATCTGGAAAGAGAAAATAGCACAATATATGAAATATTTAACCAGCAATAATGAAATATTTACCCCCTGTTTGGTTTGGTAGAGTGTTTTTGTTTTCATTCTTGTTTTCAAAATTAACTACAAAAAATGACACCTTATTTCGCGTTTTCAAAAATTTGTATAGGAAATGGTTAAAGGAAAGAGAAAAAAATGTTTTCAACATTTCCTATATAAATCTTTGGAAATAGGAAACAAAGTGAAAACAATGTAATACTTTTTATAGTATTTTAAAATAAAAATGTTTTCTCATTAAATCTCTTCACATATTAAACTCACTAGAACAACAGAAATTATTACCCTGAATATCCTTACTGCCAAGTGCTATAGATACAATTGTTGTAGATGGATTTTGACTGCTCTCTCGACGATCTAGCAACATGCTCATACATTCAGGATCAAATAAATAAACGTTTTAACAAGTAAAATCACCAGGAACATTATGACATAGGTCAAGAAAATAATTTTTTCTGGATTGCTTACCTTCCCTTACACTTACAAAACGGTTAAAACGTGTGTCAAATATTCCATCAGCATAGCTGACTACTGGGCTACCATAATCCGGAGTAAGAGGTACAGGAGGCACATCTGTTAAGGGACAAAGCATTAAATTCCAGCACTAATAGGAAAATCACTTCACATACACCTTTAACTATAACATGACACCAAATCAAAATACCTCCAAATAGACACTAATGAATCTGCATATGTTAACCAAAGTTAAATAGAAAAATAAATAAATAAATAAAATTTAATGACAATAGACAACAGACATAAGAGTAAGCGTACATATTAATCCAAAGGGTACCAGCACAAATGCCACTTTGGCTATGTTTACAGAAAGTGGAGGATTGGAGGAGTTTGGAATGGAATGACATTAGTTGTTGATGTTTGGATCATTTCAAATAGGATGAAATGGAACAAAACACAGTAAGAATATATTCAATCCCATTCCATCCGACCTTTCTATTAGTCTTGTCTCCAACTAGGGCCAATATGAAATGGAAGCAACTAATTATTCACTAGTATACTTATCATTCCAATCACTTCTCAGTAGATGGATATGAAAACTTTCCTCCATCCTATAAAAAATTCTAACCTTATTCCTTTGATCCTTTCCATTCCATCCTACTCAACTAAATTCCATTCCACCTGTCATAACTTGCCATAACATAATTTTGGGAAATATGGCATTGGATAATGAAAATTGATGCTTTCAATACTCACCCAGAGAACCGATGGACTGCTTGTACAACCTTTGATCTTTGTAATTTGCAAAGAAGACAACATCCCCTGAAACAGTAAAAGCACCACCTCCATATTCCTGAGCCAATGTTCTCACTCCAAACTCCTTAGGTGTAATGTCCACACTCTCACCTCCCGGATTTTCCGCCTCAACCACAAGAACCCCCCGTCTGGCAAACAGTAAATGGCCAAAACAAAAGGGTCAATTTGCAAACTCCAAAAGATTAAATAAAACCTTACGCTTTTCTCACTAACAAACTCCAAAAATAAATTTGCTTAGGTATTTTTTTGCAATTAGAATTAGAGCTTTATATATGTAATCAGCGTGTAATAAAGGTTTGCATTAAATACTACAAGAGCTATCGAAGTGAAACTTCGATATAAAACTTTAACTCTGATGGAAAAACATCACCAACAACACCTAATAATTTATCTAGGTTTTTTCCAATGTAAGAAGCTAAAGGGGCATTTGGTGTTTGTTTGTTTCGAAGACTATTTTGTAAAATTAATTTTTAATGAAATTAAAGTTGTAAAATTGATTTGAAGTAAAACAAATTTTGAAATGAAGTAATTTATGTTCAGACTATTTATTCTAAAAAACAATAAAACAATAGTCAATATAAATTCTTTTATACAACACAAAAGCAACTTAATGGAAAACAGTGTTTTTTCCAGTAATAAAGCTCTTAAAAACATTTATAGTTATATCAAACAGACTCTAAATATAAACATATCTAAAATCACTTTAGCAGCTATTCCAACGTGATTTTAGATCATCCAAACAGAACTCAAAAATACCCTGATTCCGCTGGACGTGATTCCAGCCAAACGAGGCGGCCGCGTGCATCGACGGCGGTTCCCCCGAGCCTCTTGGCGGCGCCGGAGACGACGTCAGTGGTGATGGGGGACTTCCAGGAGCCATAGGGTGCGGTCATTCTCTCGGAAATGGAAGGGATGGTGGCTGGTGAAGATGTCATTGCCCTTTTGCTGCTGCAGCAGAAGAAACGACGTCGTTGATGTGGGGTTTTGAAAGATACGAACTTTATGGTGAAATGATTGAAGGTGCGAGAAAAGAAGTTGGAAGAAGAAGAAGAAGAATTGCGAGTGCGAGTGAGAACGCCAATGGCTAACGTGGCCATTCTACGTTTATTTTAGTACTTACAGTTTCCATTATATACACATACAATAATAATAAAAAAAGTATTAAAAAAAATACTATTTCTATTCTAATTTATAAAATAAAATTAAAAAAATCACAAATATTAATTGCATTCAATTTTACTAGTTTAATAATATTGTTTTTAAAATATCTTTCTAATTAAAAAATACATATATTAATGATCTAATCAAATATTAAGTAAAATTAATATGTTAAAATATTATTAAAAACTAAAAAAAATTCTTACCTTTAATAATAAAAACGTGGGACTTATTTTGCTTAGATAAAATATATATATATATATATATATATATATATATATATATATATATATATATATATATATATATATATATATATATATATATATATATATATGACTTTTGTTTAGGGAAAGGTAGTAAATAGAATCTATTGTATATATTGAACTGATTTTTTTTTAACATGATTAATTGAGTGTGGTTGATGATAAAATTTTCAATTTTGTTACAATTGTTTTGAAAAATCAATTAAAATGTTCTCAGTTAATTTTGTACTAGGAATATATAATTAGATTATTTATACACATTGATCAATCTAAAGATTGTAAATAATGGTTTATTGTATTCATCATCTACTTAAAATTGTATATTTGCAAGGACATTTTGACCTAGATTTTCTTTTACTTTAAAATTATCTTTAATTATAGATAAAAATAAGAGAAGAAGTGCAGAAATTATTTATCAAAATTTACTTCTTTTTTTTTACTTACAAATACATTTTAATGAAAATTTTGTATGGTAATTTATTTCAAAAAAACTTTAATTGTTTAAAGAATAGTTATCACATCTACTTTAAAATATACATTCCCAGTAAAAATATAAGCAAAATTAATTGATTTTCTTTTACATAAAAGTATAATAATGATAATAATTAAAAAAAATTGAAATGTCAAATCACTTTAGTTAAAAAATATTTGAGTTATAATTTACAAACTATATATTTAATATTAATAAAAAAAATTGCATGTTATTAAAAATGATTAAAAAATATTTAAATTTTTTAAGGGAAAATTTCTTAATACTATTTGTTAACTCTTCATCCAATAGTTCCAAAATAACTGATTAAAAAATTAAGGATGGAAATAATGAATAACTTTTTTAAAGTAATCATAGAAAAAAAAACTTAATCTCTCCCTAATCTCATAATTAATAATGTAAGTTTGATTTTTTAACCATTATGGATGCCATAGTTAGCATCTGGCATCTCTTAAATATAAAGTTGCTTATTAATGTGACTAAGTGAGTCTAAACTATTCATCAATAATATAGCAAATAAATAACTATAATGTTACACGCCATTTTAGAACATAATTTGGATAGAAGAACACCATATAAAGAAAAAAAATGATAAACTAATAGAATAAAATTAAAAAGAACTTATGCAAAGTACCTAATATTAATAATAATGATTTAATTTCATCCAAATATCATAAAGCTGCATGACAGCTTATTATATATGCTAAAAGTTTCACAACAGACTCCAACATTAACAGAGGCTGACCAATCAATTTTGTAAGAATTTCTTTGAGCACAATGCATGAACCAGGGCCGCTAATACATCACACATTTTTTTTCTCCCCTAAAGTGGAATATACTTGATTCATATGAAGAACTATATCATATTAGAAAAATTATCAAAATACAAAACGCTGCAAAACAAAAATGCAAGAAAATTTGTTGCTATATTTGTCAGATGGTATCAGTGATGAAAACTTGGGTCTTCAGCTCATTTGGTATAATCATAAATCAATGTTTCATGAATCATTGGAAGTATCTGGCATGTCTTCGTCTTCTGGAGATGGAGAAGCCTTGGATCCCGATATGTGTTGGCATGTTCTGAAAACCATCAAAATGGGATATTTGTTAATGTTGAGATAAAATCAAAAGGGAAATAACAAAGCATGTCCCATATGAACAATGTTTTCCACAAGCTAGTGTATATAATCCAATTCACCATCAAAATTGAAATTTCACCTCAATAATATGCAGAACAAATATTCAGAACAAATAGATTACCAAGATAAAAACTCCAATTCTGACTAGAGAAAATGTTGTGATAGTTTTGAATTAACACAAAACTATCTGCAATGAAATCTATTGATTATTAGGAACTTTATTACAAATGTATCACTAGATTTGGTTGCCTAACACTATTATAATTTAATAAGCAGTTATTCCCAGACTCGTCAGAAAGAAAAAGTATACAGGTCTGAAAAGTAAAACAGAAATCATACAAGTTCAACTCCTCTATCTTGCCCTTAATATCACTTGACCATAATATTGGGTCAGTATTCTTGGGAAAGGATTCTTGTTGCTGGGTCTTCTCTTTCAACCACTGCTCTGCTTTATTGCACTCATTGATGATCTGAAACAATAAAATAAGCACTTGAAAGCTGATCTAAACAATAAAATCAGCATCATAATCACGATAGTATATACTAGTGTAATTGTTATTTTACCAGTTCTTTATCCTGGGGTGGAAGGGAATCTGCAGACCCACGATGCTTTAAGATGCACTTTGATAAATCATCTTTGGCTTGCACTCTTTCTTTTTCATCTTTGAACCGATTCTCAATTGGATCTACCAGCTACAAGATGACACAGATTGTAAACAAGAAGTCTGGAAAGAGATTCAGTAATAAAAGAAAAGAAAAAAAATAACCTTTTTCAGATCTTCCAGTTTTGAAGAATAAGCATGCTCAGTCTCATCGACACCATCCTCATAAAGCCATTCCTCAGTCTCTTGAAGACTCCTAGATATGTCATCCCTCTCTTGTTCACTCGCAAAGCTTCTATATGTGTGGAAGAGCTATTTAAATATGCAAATAAATTTAAATTTTAGTTCACAAAGCAAAATAGAACAAAAAATATAATCTTCAAATGCCATTATAGAATTAGTGGCATTGAAAGGGATAGAAATATAAAGATTTGAGATTTTCGACCCTGGGCAGATAAGATTACGCAGAAACTAATTTCAGGCTTACCACAGAATGACATGAAAATCAATTTTCAATAACTACACTACAAGTTTCTCATGTGACACTTAAGACATTTTATTAATTGAACAAAAGTTAAGGCTCTGAATCTTTAAAAAATAAACAAACTATTGAGACATTGAATCTGTACCTTATTCCTCATATCATATACATATGACTCCAAGCTATTCTTCTTTTCTTTGGTTTGCTCTATAATTCTGTCCTGTTGGGCCAACTGGAGTTCTTTGTCACGAGCTTCTGAGATTTCTGCCTTTGTCATTCCACCATAGATATTCTCATTCACAGGAACATCAAGCCTTCTGTTAGCCTTATTTTTCCTTGTACCATCAGCCTGTAAAAAGGTATGATCGAAATATTTTAACTTATCCAAACACCAAAATGAATAAGTTGAGACATATTTGTTTATCTATCTTTTTGTATTCTCTTTCTATGTTCCTTAAGCTAGGGTTAACGGTTTAGGCTGAGACCCATATCCTCTCTATTGTATTTCCTTTTCTATAAATACAATGTATCAGTGCCTTGAGACACTTTATTGAACCCTAAATAAGTTTCTCAAGTTGGTATCAGAGCGGGTAAGATCCTGCACTGATTTTCAGTCATCCCTGTCATCTCCGGCCACCGTGGGCTGCCATTCGCCATCGTCACCGCCGACCGACATTTTTCAAGTCCAGTGGTTAGCTTTATCTTTTATCTCTGATTTAGATGGTTTCATCCAGTGTTTTTTCTTTCTCTGAACTCCCACCATAACCAGTGTCAAACTCAACTAGAAAAATTATCTATCCTGATCTGCATCAGTTGAACTGTGGTTTCTTGGTCAGGGATATCAAGAGTCAAGACCATCTAAAGAAAGATGTAAACTCTATTTCTGTCTCAGAAAAGTCTCAGTGGGAGAAAATAAACTTCCAACTTTGTGCAATCTTATGACAATCTGTGGAACCTGAGGTTTTTGAACTTCTCATGTCATTCAAATCCTGCTCTTCGTTTTGGAAAAAGACTCAAGACATTTTTGCTTACGATATTTAACGTCTCTTTGATGCAACTCAAATAGTGACATCTCTCAAGCAGACAAATCATGACATGATATCTCACATTGCAAAAGTTAAGATTGTTGTGGAGGAATTCAAAAGGTTTCTTGTGACAAATACCTTAGAGGAGGTAAACTCCAAACTGGATAAGTTGTATATGATCTTAATTTTGAGGAGTCTGCATTTTGATTTTGATCATGTACATGGTCAAATCTTAACTGGCAATCAGGTTCCATCAATAGATAATCTTGTCACGAGGCTGATTCGAATTCTCAATCTTATGACAGATGAGAATAAGGTGGAGATAGTTAAAACTTCAGCTATGATTGCTTCTCGTGGTCAAGGGAGAGGACGTAACAATCGAGGAGGACGTGAGAGTACAAAAGATCGTACTCAATGCTCCTATTGCAAGAAGATGAGACACACACAACAAAACTGTTATTCCTTACACGATTTTCCTAACAAGAATAGCCCATGTCTCTAAGTCTGAAAGACCGGATGCGAAGATCTCAGATGAGGAGTATCAGGAGTTTTTGAAGTTTAAATCAGGACAATTTAGTAGCCAGGGTCAATCTTCTTCAATACCAAATGTTTCAACAACATGCATTTCTTAATTTGTGGAAGGTCAGAACCCATGAATTCTTAATTCAGGTGCCTCTGATCATATATCTAGTAATAGTTCTTCATTTTCCTTCATCTCCTATCCTAAAATTCCTCATGTGATTATTGTGGCTAATGGATCTAAAGTGAAATCACAAGGAGTTGGCCATGTTCCTTTAACATTTTCTCTGAATTTAAATTATGTTCTTTTCATTCCTAATTGCCCTTATAACTTGATTTCTCTAAGTCAATTGACCCATTCTTTGAATTGTTTTGTAACTATTAATTCTAATTATTTTGTTATTCAGGAACATGGTATGGGTCGTCTGATTGGAGAAGGACATGAATCACATGGTGTGTACTATCTGAATCCAAGTCCTTCGATGCCATATCTTGCTTCTCCTGCTCTTAAACTTTTGCATGATTGTCTGGGTCACCCAAGTTTACCTAAGTTGAACATTATGGCTCCTAATCTCAAACATCTTTAGATTTTAGAATGTGAATCTTGTCAATTAGGAAAACATATTAGGTCCACCTTTCCTAAACATTCTGAAACTCAATGTAATTTTCCTTTTTAAAATATTCATTATGATGTTTAAGGACTGAGTCGTGTCTCTTCATTTGGCTTTCTATATTTTATAACCTTTATTGATAAATTTTCCAGATGAACTTGGGTTTATTTAGTGAAAGAAAGATTTGAACTTTTATCCATTTTTGTCCTTCTTCAATGAAATTAAAAATCAATTTGGAAAGATAATTAAAGTTCTCAGAAGTAATAATGCCAAAAAATATTTTTCAGCCTCCTCTTCTTTTCTATCTTCCCAAGGAATTATATATCAGTCAACTTGTCCTCACACCCCACAACAAAATGATATCGCAGAAAGGAAAAATAGGTATCTTATTGAGAATGCACGGTCTCTAATATTGAATGTCAATGTCCTGTTCATCAAATGCAGTTCTCATTGCTTGTTTTTTTATTAATCGAATGTCATCTTCTTTTAAAAATCAAATTCCACATTCCCTTATCTTTCTAGATGATCCTCCTTATCATGTGTCTTCTCGTGTATTTGGTTGTACTGTTTTGTTCATAATATCTCTCTAGGTCTTGATAAGCTAAGTGCTAAAGCCATTAAACGTGTTTTCTTGGGATACTTTTGCCTCTAAAAAGGTACAAATGTTATTCATCCACTAAAAGGGATTATATATCTACTGATGACACCTTCTTTGATGAAACACCCTTCTTTTCTTCCCCCATGGAGAATGATTCCTCTATTCAACATATTCTTCCTATACCCTCATGTGATCCACTTATAATACCTAATCCTTGTCCAATTCAACCTATAAGTCACAATGATTCTCCTCCTCTTCTCACATATCACTGTAGGACCCCTTACACCTTTACTAATTTCTGCAAATAATTGTAATTTAGAACATTTTCTATCAGCTTCTCATACCATGGATCCTTCAACCTCCTCTCACACTTCTGATTTTAGATGGCCTATTACACTCAGAAAAGGTATTTGTTCCATTCGAAATCTCTTTCCTATTTATAATTTTTTAAGTTACCATCGTTTGTCTCCTTCATATTCCTCTTTTGTTGTCTCTTTGGCTGATACTACTATTCCTAACATTTTCCATGAGGCTCTTGATCACCTTGGATGGCGACAAGCCATGATTGATGAAATCAAGCTCTTGAACACAATGACATTTGGGAGTTTGTCCCTCTTCCTCTGGGCAAAAAAAGTTGTGGGTTGTAGGTGGGTTTATGCATTTAAAATTGATAATAATTGTAAAGTGGATCATTTCAAAACTCGTTTAGTAGCTAAAGACTACACTCAAATTTATGGCCTTAACTACTGTGACATCTTCTCTCTAGTAATTAAGATTTTCACTACTCATTTTTTCCTTGCTATGACTGCTATTCGTCATTAGCCTCTTCACCAACTAAACATTAAAAATGTTTTCCTTCATGATGAAGAGATTTATATGGAGTAACCTCCTAACTTTGTTACTCAAGGGGAGTCTGATTTAGTGTGTAAGCTACACCAGTCTCTTTATGACTTAAAGCAATCAACCCAAGCTTGGTTTGAGAAATTCCATCATGTTGTGCAGTTGTTTGGCTTGAAAAGGAGTGAAGCAGATCCCTCAATGTTTTATATTCATTCCTCTTCAGGCAAGTGTGTATTTTATGATTTATGTTGATGATATTGTTATTACAGGCAATAATTATACTAAGACCAGCCAATTGAAGAATCATCTATTTGCTCACTTCCAAACCAAAGATCTTGGTCAATTGAAGTATTTTCTAGATACTGAAGTGACCAAGTCAAAGGAAGGTGTGATCATTTTTCAAAGGAAGTATATTCTTGATATTCTAAAGGAGACAGGTTTAACAAATTGTAAACCCGTTGATACCCCAATGGACCCTAATCAGAAATTGATGGGAGATAAAGGAGAAAAGTTCTCAGACCTAGAAAGATACAGGAGATTGGTTGGTAAACTCATTTATCTTACTATTATCCCACATGACAATCTTTCTTATGCAGTTGGAGTAGTTAGCCAATTTATGCAAAATCCTTGTGTTGATCATTGGGATGCCTTGATTTGCATTTTGAGGTATGTTAAAGGGTCCCAAGACAAGGATTGTTGTATGAAGATAAAGATAATACTCAAATTCTAGATTATTGTGATGCAGAATGGGTTGATTGTCCCATTGATAGAATATCTACTACTGGGTATTGTATCTTCATTAGAGGGAATTTGATTTCTTGGAATAGTAAAAAGCAAAATGTTGTTGTTCGATCTAGTGCAGAAGTTGAGTATAGATCTATGACACTTGCTACACGTGAACTTGTGTGGATCAAACAACTCCTTCAAGAATTAAAATTCTATGATAATGGACAGATGAAGTTGTTTTGTGATAATAAGGCAACTCTTCATATTGCCTCCAACCTAGTGTTTCATGAAAGAACAAAGTATATCGAGATTGATGGTCACTTTGTTAGAGAAAAGTTATTATATAAGGAACTTGTAACTGAAAATGAGCAACGGACATTTTAACTAAATCCTTTAGTGGACCTAGGATTCAGATCATTTGAGTCCAAGCTTGGTGCATACTATCTATATGCTCCAGCTTGAGGAGGAGTGTTGAGACATGTTTATTTAACTATCATTTTGTATTTTCATTGTATGTTCCTTAAGCTAGGGTTAAAGGTTTGGGTTGAAACCCATATCCTCCTATTGTATCTCCTTTTCTATAAATACAATGTAACAGTGCCTTGAGACACTATATTGAACCCTAAATAAGTTTCTCAAGTGAATCATATCTGCAATCATAATTATCACCACAATCACAATTTTCTTCATCACAACAACCACAATCAAGTTGTAAAAAGCTAAGATATTAATATTAAAATTTACACCAAACACCAAGATGGACTTTATAAAAACAATTCATGATAAATATGACCCCAAATAATTCATCATCCAAAATTATTGCAATTGCCTCTAAAATTTTACCTATAAAATCCTACGATTGCAAAGCAAATAATAATTGCTAGAAATCTCTAACACCAAAGATTCACCAGAAAGTTAAAAAGACAGTGAGAAACAAAGGGGGAAACATGAGTACTTACAGAACTACATGGAGATTCGAACTTCTTATTGGTAATATCATTAAACCCATTGGCAACTGTCTCAGGAATGGGATCAATATCCATTGAACCAGAATTTGAATTATATTCACCCACCATAACTGAATCATCCATGTCATCCTTGATCATCTGAAACCACAGCAAGGTTTATGTCCAAAGATCTCTTAGAAAAAGTAATAACAAAATATGGAAAGAAAAAAGAGCCTTCTTACTTACTGTAGCTGATTCAATACTGACAATTCCATGTATATCAAGTGAAACTCTAATTTTAACTCTGCTCTTACTACCATGGGATACATGGAAAGGGCCAATCTGAAATGAAGCAGTGATCAAATGCATAAGCATATATTTCAAGGTTAGGGCATGTAGATAATGCCTGCTGAATTACCAGTACAAGGAATGATGTGATATCTACCACAATTCCTCTTTTCCTAACATAATGATTTAGTAAAGTGCATGCATATCCACAGAGAACTGATTCTGACTTTCATATTGTTACACATAATTAGGTTTACATTACAACAAACAATGGTTTCCTTTACTGTCAGAACAAGTAACAGTCACAGTCACACAGGCCATTTGGTAACAAAGTCTATCTCTCATTGGGAAATAGGTTGAGAGGTCTATTGAAATGGCTCTGGCTGGATCCATTAAAGTAATTTTTTCACCTGATACCAATAACTAACAGCAGGCAGCCAAAACGTTTGGATATAATTTCATATACTAACATTAACAACATCAAATATTGGAATATTAAAGTTCCAACAAAAAGGAATTGATTACAGTAATGATAAATATCTACCAGAAACACTTTTCTAGTGAAATTTAAATTTAAAACATATATGTATGAATAACTAAGTACCCAAAAGTAAAATAACGATCATTTAAAAGTTGACATAGATTTACTCCCCAAAAGAAAGATCTCACCCCGAAACTTGAGAGCATGATTTGCATTAAACACATAGGAAAAGCAGAAGAGTGAGGATGATGACTACTCAGAAAAGGAGTGGATGAGGAGAAAATACAATACACATAGAAATGAGTGCAATTCAATATAATTTTAACTCATTCACATTAACAGAATGCTCTACAGTGGCATACCGTAACACAACTAATTTTAGGAGATGTCCCAGGTGGTAGTTCATCTGGATTAACATAGAAAGCTTCCAAATGAAACAAATTACTTCGCTGAAAGGTTATAACTTTGACACTTGGAAAAGGTTGGCCTCTTGGGAAAAGTACACCATTTGATCTCACAGCAATTGGACCTTCATCTGATGAAAGTCCAACTGAAAAGGGAATAACATCCTCAACCTGAACAAACATGAGAAATCACATTAATTATATAGAGAACAATACAACAAATAGAGGCATATGACTCTATACCTATGAGAAATTGACTTAATGGAAGTGTCATTTTAAATCAGAAAAGGAGAAACATGGAACTATGGAAGACAATCAAAAGGCTGAAAATAAACTTTGTTAGGATAAATCTAGGTATTGACTTGGTTCTTTCACAATTACTACATTTCTTAGCATCTACAATCATAATTCTAATCATCAATATATAACATAAAGATAGGATGAGAATAGATTTGAAAAAATGTACAAACAAACCTCATATTCTCTCACACGATAAACGGGACTGAGCATTGCACACTGTAGAGCACAACCACGAGCTACACACTCACTTGCATTCAGCTGCCTACTGGGTTCTCTCTTGAATAAAGAAATTAGTAATGTACTTATAGCTGGAATCCTAGAACCAGAACCGACTAGCTCTACAGAAGAAATCTTCTCCACTGTCAACTTTGCATCAGTTAATGCTCTGTGGCAAGGAATAGAAAGTCTCTCTAATAATCCTGATGCCAGATTCTCAAATTCTTCCCTTGAGATAAAGCCCTTAACATCTTTCTCATCCATCAAGCACTCGATATTTAGAGGCGCCTCCAGATTTGCACTCAAAACTTTCTTCAATTTCTCACATGCTGCACGTAGCCTAAAGCATGCCTTGGTATTAGAATACACATCAATATTGTACTCCTCCTTGAATTTTGCTGCAAAATGACTAAAAAGAACCTCATCAAAGTCCCTCCCCCCTAAGCTCCTGTCAGATGCGTGTGAAAGTATCTTCATTTTCCCAAACTCAAATGATGCAATAGAGACCTGAGTATCACAGTGACCAATGTCAATAAATGCAACATAAACAGGACCTGTACTGCTAAAATCTGTTTTATACATTCCATAACTAAGGGCAGTTGCAGTACAATCATGGATAAATCTAAGAGGCTTCAACCCAGCAATTTTCGCTGCATCAAGATATGCCCGTCTCTGCAAGTCCGTGAAGTATGATGGGATCCCAATAACACAATCCGAAATGGGCATCTCCAAATCTTTTTCGGTCATAGTCTTCAAATGAGCAAACACCATGGACAATATTTGAACTGGTGTAAATACATGGATCTCCCCCAAGTACTTCAAGTGAATTAAAATGCCTCCATCTGGACCCTCAGAAGTTTCAAGAGGGAGCATTTTCAGCTCTTTATCCACATCAGGATCTGCGAATTTCCTTCCTATCAGTCTCTTTATTTGAGATATTGTGGACTTGATGTGCATCATAGCAGAAGCAGCACCAGCAGAACCCAAAAGCCGCTGCTTCTCGCTGAAGCAGACAACAGCTGGGGTTTCGCGTTTTGATTCATAATTCAACAAAACATCAATCCCACGTTGCCTAACTACAGCAATGACACAGTTCTCGTTACCAATGTCAAACCCCACCACACTCATCTCGACTCACTTGCACTAAACTTCAACCAACTAGTCCAATCCAATTCACCCACTCTACTCAACCAACAACCCTCAAATCCAAAACTTCACCTGTATCCACGAAACCAGCCCAGAAACCTAGGCTCAACCACAAATCACTACAAAAGAAAACACATGGGATTGTAAAAGACACACCAAAATGAAACAAATTTTATCATCAAAATGAAAAAAACGAAAGCACATACAGACTAAACACCATCTATTCTTGCTAATAGTTCCTCAGATTGCTCATCAAGTGCAACAAGCAGGAACAAAACTAAAAAAATAATGAGGAAAAGAACAATGGTGAAACGGGGAGCGGGGACCAACAATTTAAGCCAACCCCATTGCTAAAAATATCCTATTTCTCCGTTGAATTTTCCTCCACTTCCCATAAGAATTGACGGAAAAAAGAGGGGCATGCTATGAAAGTACCAAGAAGCCACATAAGCTAACAAAAAGTGGATTGAGGAATCTGAATTGGAGAGAAACAAAGAAAGCAATATACCTTACGGATGGTAGAATCAAGAGGCATTTGGGATTGCATAGTGCGAGTGTGACGAAGATGAAATACAGAGCGTCAGAGAGAGAGAGAGAAAATCTTCGCTTTATTTCAATGGCACGAAAGCAGGGGTTTTTACAGACACAACGGAACGAGTAACATCGCCAAATATACACTCTAATTCAGATATTTTTTTTAATATATTATTTAAGACAGGTGATAGATTTTTAGATTAAAACAAATAGTTTTTTTTAATGAAAATATTAATATTTTAATATATAATATTATATTAACTTGAATTGATTTTAATTTTTATAAAATAATATTTTTTCCACTTTAATTGTTTCTAGTAAGAGTGTTTAAATTCAAACTAGTCCATCAAAAATACTTGTTTAAAATAAGATTGGATTACTTTTTTCGTTAAATAATGTAAATCAGTTTGATTTGCATTTGGGGTCTTTCATGCTTGCAAATAAACTATGTTTATTTCAATCTCACAAGTGAATATAAATTTCTACAATATTATTTAATTTAAAATCTTATTATAGTTAGTCATAAGTTTCTCATGTGATTTTTATCTATACAAAATTTCATAATATTTTAATAAAATAAATATTATCATTTAGTTCAAAACAATTTTACAAAAAAATTAATAATAAGTGAGCATCCTAAGGTTTAACGTGTAAGAAAAATATTTTATTAATAAATCCTTAATTCTGTATCTCTCAAAAAGTTCATTCAATTTATTTTTTTATCTTATCTATCTTGTTTTCTCTCTTTTCTTATACTTATTTTTTTTCTAATTAAAAATTTATAAAAATATGCTAAAATAACTTTTTTAAAATTTAGAATTAAAACAATATTAATTATTTATTTAAAATTATAATGATAATAAATAATTTTATTTATAATTACTTAATTAACTAATTTAAAATTATTTTATCATAATAATCAATTACTCATTCAATTAAAAAAATCAAATATTTATCCGTACTTTTTTATTAAGTTGGATTATGATACAAATTATATTTTTTATAAAATTTACTTTAAAATATATTTTTTTAATAATTATATTTATTATAAAATTTACTTTAAAATATATTTTTTTAATAATTATAATATAAAAGAAATTTATAATAACTCAAAGTTATCATATATTATATTTTTCAATTATAATATATTAAATTATAATATTTTTAATTTTTAGATATAATAAAAAAACCTATTTTTATCAAATTTGAATCTATTACTTTTAATTAGAAGAATAAAATAAAGTGAAAAAAAGAACAGGAGAAGACAAAAGAATACAGATAAAATAAATTGTATATGAAAAATAAATTGATATAGTTGGTAAATAAACTTGTAAATATTTTATTTAATTTTTTTAAATATATTATTTATAGGATTAATTTCACTAATTATGACATTTTATACGAGCTTATATATGTAATTTAAAAAAATATTAAAAATTTAATTTTTTAATAATAAAAATATTATCTTCTGCATTTATGTATATTTATTAATATAAATTTATATAAATGCACTTCATAACTTAATTAACTCACAATTTATGCTCTCTTTAATATATTTTTAACATGGTAGTATTTACGGTTTATGTGCGGGCTAGTTTCCTTCCCAAAGTTTTCCTTTTTTAAATCAATAAATTTTATAACTCTTAATTTTGCACCCAAAAAAAAAAATTAATGTTACCATCATAGTGAATTGATATTTGATTTAGTTTTTTATTACATTGAGATGGAAACATATATAATATTTTGAATATATGAAAAAATATATATAAAAAAATTATATTATTTAATAATATCATAAATATTTGAATTAGAATAAAAAGAGTCGATGAAAGAGTTAATAATTTAAATATTGTTATATTACCTTATCATATTATAAATAGAAATATATTTAACTCAATCTTATAAAGTTAATTTAGAGGAGATTTTTACTTTACTTATATATTATAGTGTTATAATATATATAAAATATTTAAAATAGGAAAAACACAAAAATAGAAAATAAGATATATTTTTATGAATTCAAAACATAATTTTCTCAAGTTTTAATGGCGTAATATGTTATAAAAGAGAACATATTTGATGACCGTAGCATTTATGATATTTATAGATTTTTATCAATAACAAAGTATTAGAACATGGAAGCTTAGTAGCAAACGTAGTACCCTAACTTTCACATAATTATTTTAGTAATGGTGTGAAAATGGATCACAATGCACATAATGTGGGTTAAGTGCTACGAAGTGGGTATGTTATTATACCCATACCCCTAAAAATAGAAATTGTTAGCATTTTTTTCATTTTGTTCATCTAATAATGAGTATTATTTTCCATGTATCACATTATATCAAGTCTCTCATCATATACTCTTAACTATAAAGAATAAACCATATATTTATTTTGGATCAAATTAAATGAAATTACTAAAAGTAAATGATTGATTGATTGTCAATGTAAGTCTTATTTATATTGTATGATCCTTAAAATCCTTTTATGACTTGTCTTTAGTTAAAGGATTGAAAATCATCACCTCAATATTAATGTGCTCAATAACCACTTTCTTTTCCTTGATTTCTCTTATAGTTAGATATTTAATGTTAATGTGTTTACTTCAACTTCTACTTTTATTATTCTTTGTCCTAAATATTGTAGTAGAGTTATCACAATATAACTTTAATAACCTAACAATTGAGTTCACACCTATAAGTTCAAATATAAGACTCTTTAACCATACACCATGTGATGTAGCCTCGAAAGAAGAAATGAACTCAACCTCCATAATAGAAGCACCAACCAAGGATATGATTTTTGTTGCTCCAAAATACAACTCCACAAGCTAGCATAAAAGTATAACCAAATGTAGATTTTCTAGTATTAATGTAACCAACGAAGTTTGAATCAGAATAGTCTATCATCTCCAAATTATCACTTTGTTTGTATGTGAACACAAAACTTTTATTCTTTAAAGATATCTCATTATCTAATATGCAACTTTCCAATGGTCAATGTTTGGATTACTATAATATCTTCCAAAAATTGCAAATGCAATATCAGGTATAATGCAAACCTAAGCATACATAAGACTTTCAACGACTAAAACATGGAATATTTGTCACTTATTCCCACTCAAGATCATTTTTTAAGCATTACCCAATTCAAGTTTATCATCCTTCACAATATGAGTGATATATGTCATTCTACTCTTTATTTCTCGATCGAAGAACATTTTCTAAGATAATTATTCTCTTTATAAGCCATGCATTTAACATATTTTCATAAAAATATAATATAATTCAATTTTGCTAAATTCATTGCATTTTGCATAGTTTTAGCATCAAAACATTCATCCATACATTCATAACACAAATTTCTCTTTTTTGTTTTATGGGGAGAAATGTAATTTGAGATTATTTAAATTGGGACAAGGTGATAGAAATAAAGGCTTAAATTCATAGCAAACATCATGTACAGCCGAACTTCACTCTTCTTGAAAGCCTAAGTTTTCTTATGTAACCCATTAGAGATGTGGATGATCAGCCATTCAAATGCCCAGTGTGTTGCTCCATTTTATCAAGCTATATGCAGAACGTTATAAATGAAAAATTTGAATAAATCAAATTAATTATAATGGGAAACTAAATTAAAGACCAATAAAATTTAATAATTATATGCAATCAGCGTTGAACCAATCAAACTAGGAAAAAAATATGGATTCTTTTCTCCAATCAGTCCCAAAATTTTCTTGCCACCAATTTTGTCTCCACAATTAAATCCGCCTTTTGCAACATAAGTAATAATCCAGTTTTACAATTTTTAATTCAAGAAATATTTGATTTTTATTGTAATTAATTCTCATGTTATTTTCTCTTGGTCAGTCACCTATAAATAAGAAGTCTGACAAGAACAAATACTATTATCTTCTTTTCGGGGCGTCTTTCATCTTCTGTCTTGCTTTCCCACTTCTTTTCTCCTGTAGAATTTTAAGTTTTGTTATTAGTTTTGACAAGCTTAGCAGTGTTTTGTTATTAACTTCGCGAGCTTAGCAGGGAGCCACTACATGTACTCGGTTTATTCTCTTTTTTAATTTACATTGCAATTTCTATTAAATCTTCCAGTTTTATATTGTTCGGTTTACTTCATTCATCTCGTGCTAGATTTAATTTATATTATTTAATTTTTTAATAATTTTATTTAATTTTAGTAGGAGTGTCAAAGTGAGTCAACCCGACTCACACGGGTTGAGCTGAAAATAGGTGAGCTCAACCCGGCTCACTTTTTGACGAGCCAAAAATTTTACAACCCGGCTCAACCCACCACAGGTTGGTGGGTTAGGTGGGTTGGCTCACTAATCCATATTTTTTTAATTTTTTTAATTATATAATAAAATTAGTATCTTCGTTATTAACATTAGTATTCTTCATTTCTTTCTCAACATCGGTATCTTCATTATTAACTGAAATTGGCTCATTGGGTTTTTCATTAATAATAAAATCATCACCAATACAATTTACATTGACACTTTGATGTATTGTTTCACATTCCATACTCGTAAATTAATTTAAAAGAAAGAAGTCAAAAATTCATATATTAAAGAGATATATACGTATAAATCAATAACAAACAACAAATAATATATAGATACTACAATTTTCAAATAAAGATTCATCAATCTAATAGTTTAGGTTATGAAACAAATTCTTACCTTTGAAAATAATATAATGGACATGGTGTAGTGGTGCGGTGGACGAGATAATAAGACAAGTGACCCAAGTGCAGCGACAAACGTAGTGGTGGAGCGAACAACCGATAATAAGTTTAAGTGAGGGTTTGGCTTGTGGCGACAACCAACCATGTAGGGTAGAAGTAAGATAGGATAACATCAATTAGGGTTACTAAAATATTATAATTATTTTTAAAATTTAAAATAAATTATTAATTAGGGTTAGTATATTATTATAATTATTTTTAAAATTTAAAATTAATGGTGGGTTGCGGGCCAACCCA